AGATGCTTTAGAAACAGTTTAGCAGTTCCTCAAAAATGTTCAAGTTAACCTACGGTTAAGATCTACTGTACTACATTGTGCCAACAGTTAACAACAGTGTATTGTGCACTTGAAAATTTAAGAGGGTAAATCTCATGTTAAGAGTTCTTGTAATTTTTTTTAAAGTTACCACACGACCCAACAATTCTACTTCATTATATTCCTAACAGAAACAAACACATGTCCACAAAATCTTGTACACAAATGTTCACAGCAGCACTATTCAAGATAGCCAAAAGGTATAAACAACCCACATGTCCATCAACTGATGAGTATATAAACAAAATGTGGCATGCCCATGTAATAGAATATTATTTGGCCATAAAGAGAAATGAAGTATCTGTTACATGTTACAACATGGATGAATCCTGAAAAATACTAAGTGAAAGAAGCCAGTTACAGAAATCCACAAAATGTACCATTCCACTTATAAGAAATGTCCAAAACAGGTTCGTCCGTGGAGACAGAAAGTAGATGAGTGGTTGCCAGAGACACCAGCAGGCTGGTGGTGATAGTGATGAATGGGGATAACTCCTAATGGACATTGGGTTTCTTTATTGGCATGATGAAAAATGTCCTGAATGAAATTAAGACAGTGATAGTTGCACAATTCTGCATGCTAAAAAACCCCCATTGAATTGTATACTTTTAATTAGTGAATTCTATATGAACTGTATTTCAATAAAACTTTTTTAAAAAAATAAAAGAAATGCAGACTCTCCTGCTGACCCTGTATCTCTCGAATCAAAATCTGCATTTTAACAAGATCCCCGGGTGATTCACATATGCATTAAAGTTTGAGACACACTAATCTAGAAGAAAATCAGTAAAAATTATTTCTCCAGTCAATTTCATTAACTATTATGAAATAGTTGATTTGACTTCACCAGGACAGATTTCTCTTTTCACAATTGCTTGAGATATACAATCAACCAGTATGCACAGTGATTTTTTTAACGTCTGATTTTTCCTTTAAAAATGTGCAAAGTTTTAGTATGGGGTGACACCTGCAATGAGCTAAGGGCAAAGCCTTGGCATATGTGTCATATTTTAAAACCTCAACAGTACTAGGTATATAGTAGGTGTTCTTACTTTAAACCACCAGTTTTGAAAGGGGTGGCAGTAACATAAAATAACCAAAGATACAAATCCAAATGGGAAATGAGACCAAAAAACCCACTCACTTCAGAAAATAGTTTATTAAAGGTCAAATCAAATTTACAGAGATATAAAACAGTAGGGGCTAGAGGCGCAGAGTCTTCAAATACACTGTACATACAATAGGAAGTAAATTACCTACCTGGAGTTCTCACAGCAGTTTTATTTTGCACAGAACCTAACCTACTTTTTAAAGAATCCTAGGAAAAGTCTCAGTAGTCATATTTTCTCATGACTTAACAGCTAAAGAAAATGTCCCCATTCTAAAAAAAGAGAGGGGTGGACATAAGGGCCAGTAGGTGCTAAAGATAAAATATAACCATGGTAGGCCCAGTTTCAGCACTTTTTAAAAGATGTGTGCAAGCACTCTGCTCGGGGGGATGGGGAGATGGGGGGGAAGGAGGGAAGGCATCATGCAAAATGACTGTACTAGACCCAAGAGTTGGAGAAAGAAATTTTTTGGTTCTCTAAAAAGTTTGGCAACTGTCATCTACAAACTTTCTATGCTATTTAAACTTTACTTTTTAAAAACTAGGCAAATTTCATTAAGAGTTTGGAATGTCTTCTGGGTATTCATAGCCAGGTACTGCATAAAATTTCACACCCAAACTGAGAGTACAGGCTCTGCAATCAGCCTGCCTGGATCCAAATATTGGTACTAGATAATCGTTGTACAAACTTGGGCAAGTTCAGTTCTTTGTCTTAATGACTTAGAAAATGGGTTTTAATAATAGCACTTATCTCATAGAATAGTTATGAGGATTAAAAATACAAATATTATATATTTGTATTTTTACACATATATATATATATATATGTAAAGAGCTTAGAACAGTACCTGGAACACAGACATATTTAGTAAATGTCTCTTTCATACACATGCGAGCAAAGGATCTTTCAAATACAATTTGTTATATTCAGATTAACATGCTAGCTACAGTGGACTGTTGCTGGGGAAATGGAATTAGCTTCATTTTATTAGATTTTGATTCCCTAAATTAGAATTCTATCCATATCAATAAAAATGAATTTCTTGGGGGAAAGGGGTATAGCTCAGAAGTATAGCACGTGCTTGGCACACATGAGGTCCTAGGTTCAATCTCCAGTGCCTCCGTTAAGGGAAAAAAAAAAAGTTACAAAACTGACTTTCTTGAGGATACGAACATGCTGCATGCTAGTTCATTTTTTTACTCCAGAGTCTTGCATATGCCTTTTATACAGGAGTGTAATAAATATGGAACAATTTAATCCTAGTAATTTAAAAATTACCTCTATAACCAATATATGTTAATAGAGACCTATAAAACCCCATAATTTTACTCTTATTTGACTATATACAATGCAAATGTAGTTCCGGTAGGAACTCTGAAGCACTTAAAAGTTTTTCTATATATAAGGGATAAAACTAAAACTCAACTAATAATAATTTTTAAAGAGAGGATTTGAGCACAAAAGAACAAAATTGGCACTTTGTACACTTCAATGCAAGTCCCAGATTAACTGCTGAGAAGTAGAGGGAAAATTCCACACTGGCTGGAACAACTCCACCTTCTCCACTATTGCTGAGAACCACACGAAATGGGGGCAAGACTTTTTGAAGCTCAGATTAAAGCTGTCCATTTTTACTAATACAAAATAACTGATTTAAAAATACCTAATAAAGTCTTTCTTCAAAACAGACATCTCACTTACCTTTTCAATGTATTTCCTAAAAACATTAAAGACAGATGTAAGGCTTAGCTGGCAATTTCCATGAACTCAGTTCTTTTCCTCTCACTGCAGTGGAGCTGACGTGACAGAGCAGGTTTGGGAATGCTAGAAATGAATTCCTACTTCCCTTTGCATTCTTCAGATTCATTTTCCCCCAAATTTCTGCACTGGTTGGCTTCCATTTCAGCATCAGTCACGAAATCTTGAAGGTTAGACACAGTAAATAGGGAAGGACATAAAATTAAGTGATATGGGTGTAGCTTTGAGTTGCACAACTTTAATAGGGATGAGTCATACCTTAAAGTATGTGAAAGTGAATTTCATATTCTGTTCCTCTTTGAAATTCAGCTTAGTCAAACAAAAGGTATTATTCTGGTATAGCCTAAATTTTGTTTGTTCCTTTAATAAATGTTGAGTGAAAAAGATGTAATTCCCATGAAGACCAAAACACAAGTTGATCAATTTAGTATGAGTCTGCACCCTTGATTTACTTTGCACGATAAATGTGTAAAGAAAAAACAATTCTAAGAAAAGGAATGAAAAATACTAGCAAATTGTCTTGATTTTCTAATTTGCCAAATTTGAAAAGGGTATTTTACTTACATATCACTTAAGTCAGAAAAAGAAAGTGCATCTTATCTGATTTATTGTTAGTACAAGTTTTAAGTTAAGACTTATTCAATTGCTTTCTTATAGGAAATTGCACGAAATTAACTGAGAAAAAATATTGAATAATTCAGGTAGAATTAACAACTAAGAAATTTCTTAATGCTTTGCAAAATCATAAACTGAAAATCAAACTTTCTACAGTTCAAATAGTTAGCAAACAAAACTACTTTTATTTGCTTCCTGTAAATCATTAAATAGGTTTGCTATACTCACACACTGACACTCCAATTTCCTTTGGCAGCCCAAACTGACAGAACTAGGTCTCTGTTTGGGAATGGAAACGAGAGTAGCTAGATTAGGGAAATTCAGGCTGACAAAACTCGCTTTTCAGGGGAATGGAAGAGGAAGCAATCGGTACGCCGTAAGAGTTGAAGCATTCTGACCATATATCGGGCAGTTATCCTTGTTGAGTGGCTCTGGATTCCAAATAACACATTCTTCCTTAGTGTACTCATTCCATCACTGGCTGAGCAGTCCACACTGGAGACCATTTAAAAACGTGCAGTTTGTAATAACCATTATCTATCTTAGCAGCTAGAAAGGCAAAACAGAAGTTAGCATGTAAAACTACCTTTAGGAACTAGGGCAGAATACTAATTCATGAATGACAATGATAGCAACTAGAAGCAATTTTTCAGAAAAGTATAATGAATACATCTGGTCCTGACGAGTTGGGTTTGTTTCTAAGAAAAACAAATCTCAGAATATCTTCAAAGTATCCTCCAAGTACCCTCTTTCCTCCACAACTTCTACTTTTGGATTGGCATTCCAGAAGTGCAAGGAATATAAAATATCACAGTTAGATGTTTGCTAAACAGGAAGGAGAGCCAGTGGATTTACTTATATTGCCCAATTAAATAATAAACACGGAAATCAATATGGCTTCAACCCAGAAAAGAAAAATCCATGCATGAAAATCAGACATAGCAACAACTGCTCCTGATGTCAGATTTTAATAGCAAAGGGCAAGAGGGACTCATGTTACCTACTCTTTATAAAGAAAAAAGCAAAATTCACTTTAAAAAAGAAAAGGAATCACCATTTACAATGATCTGGGGAAAAAACTGAGAAATCTGGGAAATTTCATAAAACTAGGTTTGAGAACAAGCTGCGTGAATGGGCTCAATGCTTCTTAGTTTACGGTTAAAAAGCACTATTCAAAGGGAAGAGGAAACGTACATGTAAGTTTCTTTCCAAGTTTCTTTGCTCAAAGATAAGCAATTGGGCAGAGCACTTGCGTTAAACTGGTATCTGGAACCGCCCTTGCGTGAAACTGGTATCTGGAAATAAGGGCAAAATAAAATACTGTGTGTTGCAGAGCTGAGATGCATCCTGGATTAGATGTACTAAACTAAGAGCTGTGAGTTGGCAACAGATTTCTGCCCTTCGATATCCTAGTTTGTAGTATTTTGTTCTTTTAACAGCCAACTAGTATTAAGATTCAAGGTTTATATTTTGAATCAGATTATTCTTCAGTCCTGCATTGTGAATTTTCAAGGTAAATCTTACCTTTAAAGTCAGTGGCAACATCTAAACTACAGAATACTTCTGTTGCTATTTCAAATCCTCTAATATAATCTAATACACTTAACCACAGCTTCACTGACATCACAATTGCTCCTACGGACTAAAAGGGGGAGGGACGGGAGAAAACTGAGAAATCGTAATCATTATACTGCTCCATTATACCAATTGAAGAGAATTAACCGTATGAAGAACAACTTTTTGTTTCTCTTCATGCCTGGTTTATAAGGAATTGCCTGACCACTGGACATAAGAAAAAGTAGAGTTCCTGGCACAAAGTTTTCACAGGTTATTTTCATCATTCATTTGAAGTAAACACCACGAGATATCTATGACACATATAAAGGTGCTTATAATCTCTCACTTCAGCGTTAATTGAACAGTTGGAGCTATTCATATATCTTCTCTAACAGTGTAATCAAGAACCACATGAGGTATAACCTCATGATAACAGCCATATTTTTCTGGCCTACAACAAATGCAGCTACATTTTTAAGTGTTTGCATGGTTCTTTAAAATATTAATTTCAAACGTATACAATCATTAACATTCTTGTTTTATTTAAATGCAATATTCAGTGTTCCTGACTGAAGTGGGCTCAATGGACCAGTCTTTCAAAAACAATATACTCGATTCACATATATTTTATTAAGTACAGGTGCTAGCTTGTATCCCAACACTTCTACTCAGTTTGCTCGACTGGTTCTCAATTCAGAGACAAAGCCAAGAACAAAACTGAACCTGTAGACTAGGCCTTATTAACACTGAGCCAAAATGGCCACCAATTTTAAAGAGGCAATCTCTCCCAATCTGGGGACACTCTGGCCCTAACAGTAAACAAACGGTCAAGTCTAAACTCTACCCACAAAGTGGAGATTCCTGTAGCCTCAGTTCATGAAAATGCATTTTAAAAGATAATAAAGCATTGATTATTTTAGTTGTGAAACATGAATTATCAAGAAAATAAGGAGCCAGAAAAAGTCTTGAGCATAATTTCAACTTTTTTTCTATATAAAATTTCCTGATAATCTAAAGCCATCGAAGTGTGCTTCATGAAGCTTTTATCATTCGCTGATGATGATGGTTGATCAGACTCATGAATATTTAGATTTTTCCTTTGGAGATGCTGTTGCTCTTGGACTGAATGCCACTAGCGCCATTGCTACCTGGATACAGAGCACCTGCTGCAAATCCAGCCTGGCTTCCCATTCTTCCCCAAGTATGCTTAAGGAATGAAACACTCATTTCACATTAGTGTAAGTAAACCACACAGGAAGCAAATCAGATTACAAGTTACAAATAGTTATTCATGTCATCTCCTCCCTTCAGAATGCTGATCCCACTCCAGTTCCTGCAACTTCTTCTCTATTTGCATTTTTTTTAATCTAAGAAAAATACTTTCCCTTCAAATTCTCTTCTCCCAACATTTAAAGGCTTTGCCCACCCCTCATTCTTTGAAAAAGATGAGCTAAGCTCCTGGAAATTTCAGGGAAAAAAAAAAATCAGTGTCAAAACTAGAAGCAGATTCATAATAAAAGTAAACTTTTTATTATTACTTTTTGGGGGGGAGGGGATTAGGTCTGTTTATTTTATTTATTTAATGGAGGTACTGGGAATTGAACCCACTCTATCACTTGAGCTATACCCTCCCCTCCCCCACAAACACTACTTTTCATGTAAATTATCACCCAAAGGGTCAAATTAAAGAGGCAGTTAATCTGATTAGCACTCTCTCCCCTTTCTTGATACCTTTGGTTCCAAGTGTGGACCTTAGAAATTATGGTTACTGGCAGGCTGTCAGGAGACAATCTGACAAAGTGAATGTAGCTTACTTGTAAGCATGGCGACTCCACCTTTCTCTTAAGGAGATATGTGGGAGCAGTGACTGGAGCTCCTGCATGTTTCATGAGCCAAAGGTTATAAATTTCTAACTCAAACTTCAAAGAATAAGAAATCCTAAGTGTTTCACTATCTTTTAATCACTGGCCAATCAGTAATTGCACTCTCCCTCTTCCATGAAAATACTAACAGGCACTCTAACACCATTATACACAACTCCATTAATCAAGCGCCCACTTTCCCTTCTAAAGTAAACTTAGGTCACCTTTTTTAAAATGCTGAAGCAAAGAAGAAAACTAGAAAATCTAGATGTGAATGAATTTTGCCAGCAATTGCTATGTAACCTGGAGTGTCACTTTTATAAGTAAATGCACATAACATTTCCAAATGTCAGCAGCCACACCTGTATTAACACTGTTTCTCCTTTTTACAAAATAGGTCAATTTCTAAAAAATCCACTGAATAAACATAAAATTTTATATACCAGGTGAATTTTCTATTGACAACAAACTAATTCCAGAGATGCCTTACAATCTTTATTTTTTTTTCCAGGAGAAGGTAATTAGGTTTACTTATTTAATGGAGATACTGGGGATTGAACCCAGGACCTCATGTATGCTAGGCATGCACTCTACCACTGAGCTATGCACCCCAACCTTTATTTCTGGTAGTTCTCAACCTTCTTCTTTCCTCCACTAGTTTTTTGGGATCCCCCCCGCCAAGTAAATTCTCCAACAGACTAACAGTTCTACCTAATACCTTGGGTAAAACTTCCAATTTGATCTTGCTAAATTAGGTTACTATAAATAAGATATAAAATAGAGTTTTAAAAAATATTTTTTTCTAAATATCTTAAAAAAATCACCATCAAAGTCTTGTTCTCAGAGATCTGATTATCAAGTAGGAAGAGAGAATATATATTATGCACATGCAGAACATAAGAAACTCATGTTCTGACTGACTTTGTATAAGAACCCAGTCCTTTCCAATCATTGACTGTGAAGTTCTACTCCAAGTCAACAGAGTAGGTACATTTCAGGTAACTCCAAATAAAAGAACAACTGCAGACATCTAATTTTCAAAGAATATATGTTTGACAGAAAAATGTGTTAATGTTTTTGGTGTCACTAAATTAACTTCAAAAATTTTAAGTGTATTAAGGGGGAGGGTATCACTTAGTGGCAGAGTGCGGGCCTAGCATGCATAAGGTCCTGGGTTCAATCCCCAGTACCCTCCATTAAAAATAAAAAAAACCCTAATTAACTCCCCCCCAATTTTAAATGTACAGCATGTTTTGTTTCTAAATTAAAATAAAGGATGTTTTAAAATAACTTTATGGGCAAAGGAAATATGATACTTTCAAAGTTTTGTTTTTTTTGTTTTTTTGTTTTTTGCCTTCTACAACTTCTAATCATAGAAAAGAACTTATAAGGACATGCTGGGTTCATCTTGGCACACCTGGCAGATACATGAGAGACTAGGGGGTTTATATCCAATGAGGGTTCTGGGGAAGTAAGAACGCATTTGGGACAAAGCAGCAGTAAGGCCTAATTCTGATAAATCTAAAGTGTGTTTCAGATTAGTATTTGTTACTCACTTTACAATTAAGTAATTCAAGTCCTGCATAAAATTTCACAGAGGGGAAATAAAGTCCTAAGTATTTCCTAATATAACATGAGATCACCTTTTTTGACTTAAAGGATTAAGAGATTTGATGTTATGTTTATAAAAATAGGAGAATCAAAATATTCACAATCTTTTTGGCAAAAGTTATACCACTTAAATTGTTACGTAAATAATTTTCAGACTGAATATGGAAAGTATGCAATTAAAGGTAAGAGACTTTATAACCCTAGTGTGAGAAAATGTTCCATATTATACTTTTTACCTATGTCCTTCTTCAAGTCTGAGTTCCAATACATGCTAGTGAAAAAAAAGATCAAAATTAGCATTTGTGCAAGTTTTTCAGTTAATACTGCAAATAGAATCACCAGGGAAAAAAGGCCAGAATACAAAGAACTCAAATATGTGACATAATAAGAAACCCTTGAGACATACAAAATCAAACTGTATTACTTACCAAACCTCTTATACCATCTCCTGATAAGTATCCAGGAAAAAAATGTGGGAGATCTAAAATGTATCATAAACAGGCAGAGAAAACACTTTAATAGACCTCCCCCTAAATAACATAATTCAAAATGAAAAATTTCAAGACAAGACATAGGTCAATAAAGTATAATTATTTTGAAGTCTTATAAGATTTCTAAATTTAGGAATAAAGTCCCAGTTTTCTGCTCCTGAGGATGCTGAAATAGTTTGAAAGGAATACAACAAAGAAAAAGAAAAAGCACAATTAAATGGGGGTGGGATCAACACAGAACATGGGGTAGAAGTAAAACTGCAGGGAGGAGAGGGAGAGAAAACATCAAAATTAAAAACAAAACAAAATAAAAACCCTTTCTCTACAACACTATGGAGCTCAATTTTTCTTCTTCTAGTTTTACTAAGATGTGGGGTTCTGTTTTTGAACAGACCAATCACTTAGTATTTGAATCATGGCTCTACTACAAAAACGTTCCTGCATTTCAGTGTCTTCATCTGTAAAAGTGAAGTTGTGAAGATTAAACAGAACACCTGAAAAGCACTTTGAACAGTACCTGACACACAGTAAGCACTTAGCAATGCTAGCTATCATCATTAAACAAGAGCACATATTCATTCAAATATTTTATTAGCTATTATTTTCACAAGGTCAAAAGCACGCATGTCCCCAATGGGCTCCCTGAATGGCTGAAATTAGAGTCAAGATTTTTGACAATGTATCTAATGATACTTAACTTTCAGAATAGCTTCAGGCAAACTCTTTCAAATGTTCCTTATGGAGGAGTAGCTGATCCAAATATGAGGTAGCTAGCACTCCTCTTGTCTGGCATCAGTTACTACTATTGATATTAGAAGACGGAAGGAAGTAGACCCTTATATATATGGTGTGTCTGCAAGCTAAATGTAGGTGGCTGAATGTTCAAGTTTGCTGTAGGGATAATCAAAGTGACTAGACAAGTATAAAACCAACTCACCCTTTTATCCCTTTCCTCTACAAAACTAAAACCTTTATATATATATATATATATATATATATATATATATATATATATATATATATATAATATATATATATATATATATATAATAA